GCTCATTGATTTATTAGGTAAAAGATTGAAACTATCTCTTTTAAGTATCTTATTATCTTATTCTTTCCTTAGCCTATTTATAAGTACAGATAATCAATTGAGACAGTCAATCCTTTATCAACGTAAGCCTCATACATAATTATTGCAACAATTCAAGAGATTAGATATGTTTGGGCCTAGTATAAATCACCGCCGTACCTCCTCGGCTGTGTAACAGGACGGTTACATGCAGCAATTACCTGCCTGCCTCCTACATGCACAAGGCGGCAAACATTTCTCAACAATGGGCGTTGTACTAGACGATAGTCCCTAAATGATCAGTTAATCCAGAAAGAGACCAGAGACGGCTGTAAGTACCAACCCCGACTATTTTCGTGAACAGGAAAATTGAAATTGTGTGATATATTTTAGTTGGTGTTGGTTGGTATCAACATTTTAATTAGCTTTTACAAGTGGTACAAATAGTACTACAATATTACATAGAATGTTATATATTTAGAAAGTTGTGTTTTGGCGTAGATTTGTAACCCGACTTGAAATTGGCTTTTCTCAGTAACTGAGACAGTAAAAACTTTCCTTGTGTATGTACAAAAGGGCATTAACAGTAAGCAATTATGATAAAGTTTATATTGTAAAATATACAACTCGTTTGCAATCCTTTATTTGAACACTATAGCAAATCTTTCTGGTAGGAAATGTATGTATTTGTTGTCTATATCATTGTATGACCAACACAAGATGTTAATTATTTGAAAGTACATATCGTTTATGAAATCGGCGATAACTATATTGAATGATACAACAAAATCAAAGTTAAACAAAATATAAATGAGTTTCTCCTCAATATAAATCAAACAACTATCAAGGAGCAGAGGAATTTAAACACTCATAGCCCATAACTTATATCGCGCTAATATGCTTTGAGGACGACTGGAGCTCTACGGTTGTTTTAAAATTTCAATTTACAAAATGTTAATTCTGTGTAAGCCTATTTATTGTGTTCAGATCAGTAAACTATGTTCTTTTAGCTGTAGTCCTAGGGTACAGGTTCTACAGGGTAGGTTACTGGAGGTAGGATAGGTTACTGGAGGTAGGTATGGCAGGCTAGGGTACAGATTCTACACAGGGAAGGTTACTGGAGTAGGAAAGGTAATTAGGTTCTGGAGTAGGATAGGTAACCAGGTCACCGGAGGTAGGTAAGGGCAGGCTAGGGTACAGGTTCTACAGGGTAGGTTACTGGAGTAGGATAGGTAACCAGGTTACTGGAAGTAGGTAGGGCAGGCTAGGGTACAGGTTCTACAGGGTAGGTTACTGAAGTAGGATAGGTTACTGGAGGTAGGTATGGCAGGCTAGGGTACAGGTTCTACAGGGTAGGTTACTGGAGTAGGATAGGTAACCAGGTTACTGGAGGTAGGTAGGGCAGGCTAGGGTACAGGTTCTACAGGGTAGGTTACTGAAGTAGGATAGGTTTAATTTTTCCCACGCAAAATTAGGTTTTACACATGTCACAGTTTCACTACAAACGTAACAATCAACCAAAATCCATACTTCCGATCTGACCCCTACTTCCGGTGCCCTCTGACACCGCGATACCGCGGGTTTGGATGATATCCCGTGAAAGCCCTTCGTCCTATAGGATTTTAAAATTCCATAGTTTGTGCTGAATTCTTTTGTCAATCAGCTGAACTTTTTTAAGTTTACATTTGTTTCCATCAAAACAGATGGCCATGATACAATTTTGTTTATATCCATACAAAGACAGGGTTATCTGTAGCTGGTGATATTTCAGTGAATTCAATTTAAATGTTGTAATGTTATTTGTATAAAATGTAAAGAAGAAAATTACTTATGTTAAATATTGTGTTGTGAGAGGATTATGTGTCTTCATAGTAAAGGGTGTCCCAAAAAAACAGGGACAGTTTTAAAATGCAATTTTTTAGCTGTTATAAAGGATGGAGAGTTCATTGATGCGTTAAATGAATCTTTATTTGATGCCATTTAGTGTATAACTACTATGGATCATCAACGGCTACCACAACATCGTGCCTTTGTCCTAGAGGCTTTTTTGAAGAATAATTTGTCTATCACTCCTACTCAACGTCAATTACGTGTTCATTTCAACGTTGGCCGTAATGGTGCAACCCTAGGAGGCTCCTAGGTGCAACCCCACACCGAAAAACTACTCAAAGATAGGTAAGCAATTTCCTGAACACGGCTTCAGCACTCAAAATCAAACCTACTTAACCTACAAACAAAACCCATTTGGTTAATATTCTAATTGTGACGAATAATCGCCATCTTTTTAGTAAACACAACCAAAATTTATATATTCAAATGTGTTTATTGTAAATTTAAAACTCCCATGCTATTCTTATGAATTAGTTAACTGTTGCAGTTTGCTTGTTTATAGATATATTTTGATCAAACTTGGAAAATTAGTTATTTTATAGTAAGGTATTGATATTTTACTTAAAAAAAAAACACACTATAATAACCTACCTGTAGCAGCAAACCTAGGTACCTGTTGAATCTAATTTTATTTATATACATTTTTTAATAAAACATCCAATGAAATGGAAATTTGCTGAGTCTGCAGGTTTGCTGTGGCGGAGTTGTTTTACTCATAAAATAAGCTTAAATTTTTAGATTTTATAGTATCACACTATTTAACTAAATAGGATTAATTATCATAATCCTTGAAAGTAACGGTCAATTTCCATGTGTTTCACCTATTTTTGATAAATAGAAAAAACTAAATATACTTAATAACAAATAACTCAAAAACCGTTGGGTTTAGAGAAAGATGGTAAATACAAAAAATGTGTATTTTTAGATGACCTACATTTTGTACATTTAGCTTTTTCCTGTATCTCTAATAATAAAGTCACTATAGCGAAAAATACATAAATATGCCGCCATTTTCCAATATGGCGGCCGTAGCACAGCTTTAATTTTAGGGGACTTTTAGTATGTTGAAAAGGAAGGTACACCCAACATCTGTACCAAATTCCCCGGTTGTGCTAATTTTTTTTGGGTCAAAACATATTTTTACTGTACTATACTGCCTACATGGGAAATTCGCTCAAATTAAGAACTAGTAAATGAAAAAAATAAAAACTAAATCAATTATGACTAACACTAAGAGGGGAGGTGGAAAATTACTTTTCCCCTTGGAATAACATTCCTTAAGTTTTAGCTTTCTCATGAAATTATTCCTGCTATGTTCATTTATAATTTTACTAGGAAGATGCTTAAACAATTGTAATCCTAAATACAGAATGGTTTTTCGTAGAATTAAAAATTATGTTTACTTGAAACACGTAATTTTTTTGCCAAGTGTTGTATGGGCATACCAATAATTTGTCTCAGAGGTGCTCAAGCGAATTTCTGATAGAATGATTGTGTCGTTAATATATTGGCTATATACTGTTAAAATGTTCAATTCTTTAATTTGTTTTTGTTGTTTCGTTGTGTTTTAGTTAAAAAATTATTATGATTGCTATTTTTTGTAATTTAAGTATCGTATCAAAATTTGCTATTGTACTGAAACGTAAAGGCACAAAGCACAAGATAAATGTGAATGGACATTACCCTCATATATGTTTTTAAATGTTTTATGGGTACAAAAATAAGAAATTCTAGAGAGTGAATACAGTCCTGAACATAATTTTTTTAAGGAGTTCATCCAAGTTTACATTTTGGCCCACAGTTAGACCTAAAAAACTGTGTACTGTTTTTATGTCAAATTTCTGCATTATATATGATATTTGGATCAATTAACTGTTTATGTTGATTTGTTTTTAAAGTAAAAAAAGAATCTTTTTTTTAGGATTGATTAAGTTTCAACTTATTCTGTTGTAGAAAGTTTCCAATGTTCGCCAATTTAACAAAATTTCAACTTGTTGCACTGACTCGACTCAGCCGATATACTTTGAGATTGGTATCGTCTGCATAAAAAGAAATATCGTTCTGAGGTAAACATGTGAGTGCACCACTAGCATCTAACATAATACAGAGACTCCTATTCATCTACTGGTATACGCCAGACACCCCAACTTTCAACACAATATCCAAATCAGCATAACAGACAGTCCAGTTGGATGTCCAGTCAGCACCTAAACTGAGTAGGTGAAAATGTATATTATTAGTGGAGAGGACGAGGCGCCCTGTAGGCCATGGTACAAAGTCCACAGCCGAAGTCATCGACCTTGAGGGGGTGGTGTCAGGTAGGGGATGGATCAGGTATACAATACACCAGGTCTCGGAACCACGCTTTGACGTCGAGCCGCATTCCAAACATTTCCCCGAGTCTGTATTTTTACAACCCTACAGCTACAGCATTACAGTAAGATCATACTGAGGAAGATTTTTGATTTATTTTCATCCATGAACGCAACGCGCAGATAAATGGAAGTATTGAAACTACTGTCTTATTCCGAAGGAGCAATTTCGGAGGTTTTCAGTTGTAATGCGATCAAACCATAGTGTATTAACGAAAAAGAGGATATATAAATACTGTATAACTAAATGACAATGAAACTTATTCAGTAAGATTTGAATTTTTATTAAGTGTGTCATTTCATTGTCTTAAATGCTACGGATTAATTAAGTACATTAATATGATCTATATCTGAATATAATGTAGGATAAAGTATAGAAATGTTGCCAAATTGGGTTATGTATTACACAACTTTTTGTAGTTTCTTGATATAAGTTCTGCGGGTAATAATGCAGCAACTTGCTGGTTTTACATTAACACGACCAACCTCTTTTGTTAACTAACAAAAGTAAAAAATAATCTTAACAACAAATAGTGTGGTAATTAATTTAAGTGTTAAAATTTAATAAAACTGACGGTCATTTCCGCGAGTGTACAACTAAACGTAGACATAAACAAAGAGGGTTATTTTAGTTGCTCATAAATTCCCTAAAGGGGTGGAAAACATAATCAATTGATTGGGCCTAACAATCTAACATAAAAAGTGACATGTTCAACTCACCAGATTTACAAGGATCCATATAGATATCATCTGAAAGTCTCCGGGGATAACTGGTGTGCAGCAGTTGATCCGCGGTGTACTTTGGTCTCTGTTCGTGTTTCCTTGTAACTTTTGTGTTGTCAATGGCAACCACGGTGGTCACCACCACCACGGAGATCAACCACAACCCCATCATGTCCACAACCACAACACTACACAGTACACAGTCACTGCGGAGTCCTCCCCATCACCACTGTTAGCCGCTCGCGCTGACGGTCGCGCTGATACTGAACTAGTGAACTCACTTCACTGCAGCCTCAATATCCCCTCTCTCTCATTGGTCCTCGCAACAATGCTCCTTACTCGCGCTCTCATTGGCTCCAGACCTCCTCCCTCCTATAACTTGCTTATTTTACCATCGTTGCTGTTTGCTTTCTAGGTAGAATAGGGACATTTTTGTAAGATGTATTTCACTTTTCCCAAATTGTACAATTTGGTTATTTTAAAAATTATGCCTACTGTAAATGTATTATTCTTACTTTGAAATAAGTGTGCACGTTTTAAACTAATAAAAGTTTTTTTTTAGTTTATAAGTTTATATTATGAAACCGAAAATTATTTTTCGTCATACTGCAGTAAAAACATCCGTTTTAAATGCATGCATACTCCCTAGAGGGAGTAAAAGCGTTTTAGCCCCTAGGGAGTAAAAATCAGCTGTTGTCAACCCAGTTGTAAATTTCGATTGTAAACAATTGCATAAATCGAAAGTGCCGGTATTTATCGATTGTTTAATCGATTGTATCTTATTGTTACATTATTGTAAATAGTTTGACATATCGATAGTATAATGTACCAACACAATCGTAACAGACTATACGATTGAATCACTTGCCAAACAGCAGCTTGTTTCCATTAGCAAATTAAATTTAAAAATGTTAGAACTACTTTTGAGAGGTTATTTTTAAAAGAAAACTATTTTAGTTTTGTAACATAGTTTGTTCAAATAGTACAATATGACGAAATTATAGTTCATCACACGGGTAAAAAGTGACTTTTTAACCCTCGCTCATTTTCCGGGTTATGTCCTATTCCGCCCGAGTTTTATTTCGCCCGGAGCCTAATTACTCCCAATTCGCCCGCGGTCCCAGATTATCCCCTATAATCCTCAGCTCTACCTGCGTCAGGAGTCCTATTCCATCCACGGAGGACCCCACCCACCCCCAACTATGTAAAAGCCCTCCCCTACCCATCACCCCGTTATCCACCTCCGATTACACGGTTATTTAAGTTTAAAATATTTATTTTACAAACCAGACAAACCAAGCGAATTTCCTTTATATTAATGTAAAGTTTAAACACGAAGTTTTAAGCATTAAAATATAAAGGGGCATGTGCCCTTATTGATGTAGCCGTTGTAAAGATTATGGTAAATCTTTATAATCTGGAACTTTCCTTTGCGTTGAAACGCTTCAACCGTGATATTGATACATGTTTACGACATAACAGATTAATAAAATTTGCTACCTATGTGCTGTTAGTTACTGTATGTTTGTCTCCCTATCCAAAATGTGCAAATAAGCAATTTAATTATTTAAAATATTGCGTTTAACGACAAACAGAAACATATGATAGATAACACTGCAATCCAAGACATGGCCAAACAAAGGCCACTAGTTAGCGGCTTCTAGTGTTAAATACCCAACTGCACACCTTTGAGTTTTCTTTATTATGCAATGTAAATAATTCACCTATTGGGTTTGATGATGATTGGAGTGTCGAATCGAACTCGATCACCATTTGCCATCTTTTATGTAAATTTATCGTCTGATGAGATAACAGTATGAGAGCACAAAAGTTTTAAGTGTTATTAGACTATCTTTTTTTACTTTTCATATACAATGTAATGTAGTAGTTTATGCAAGGAATGCGTTAAGATAGTGTCGTTTACTCTTTTTACGCGAGTTGCGTACACTACTTTACCTACGACAATATTTTCTTATTAATAACCAGACAGGATGTGAATGAAGCGCGAGGGATGTTGACTTGGAATGTCCAAGCGTTGTCCGTGAGAAATAACAGGGGAGAAATAGCAGCGTTTCGCATTTTTCCAAGAGAGGGTGGTCATTCAGGATTCGTCATCGGTATGCTTCTTTTTGGGGAGATGAGAGCTAAATCTCATTTCCATATGTGCCGTTGACTGTTACACATCGCGATGGAGTACACAACTACTAATAGAGGTGCGCTTAGTCTGATTTACAACGGGTATGGCTATTAAAAAACGCGAGAATAAATCTGGTGAAGTGATCTGGTGGTGTAGTAAATCGTTTAACGGAGGTTGTCTCGGAAAGGTGATTGTTAAGGAAGAAGTAGTGTTGAGGGAAGAAGCTCATCAGTGTATTCCGGACGTTGCAAAGTTGGAAGTGAAAAAAGCTACTGCTAACGCAAAGAAGAGGGTTCGACAAGAAGACAACATAACCGTGGCAAAGGTATGTAAACAATATCTTGAATAACATTTTCCTTGTCAAACAATTTTTCGTAATACATCTCTTTTTTTATTAATACTGAAGTCGAGGTTAAATTGTTTCTTTTCTATGGTTAGAGAATAATTTGTATACCGTACTTGACGAATTTAAATGCTCAAACGAGGATTCATAAGATGTAGTACATTTTCATTTTAATTTAAACAAGCATAACTGTCTAACAACCATCATTCTGTGAAAATAACCCTCTGATTGTTTCAAAATAAGACCGCATTATTTTAGGTTATACTAAGTCTTCATCAATGTTTTCATTACTGTTGTTTGAAAACATAGATTTTAAATATCGAGGGAGCAGCGTTTTCATAATGCACTAAAATATTAGTTTTAGGACGAGTTACGAACAATATTTTTCTTTACATTGTCATTACTTTTTGGTCCATTTACACTGTCACTACTCCAAAATACAGTAACACTGAAGTAGTGTACGCAACTTGCGTAAATAAAGTAAACGACACTATCTTAACGTATTCCTTGCGTAAACTACTATATTACATTGTATACGAAAAGAAAAAAAACGTCTAATAACACTTAAAATATGTGCTCTTATACTATTATCTCACCAGACGATAAATATACATAAAAGATGGCAAATGGTGATCGAGTTTGATTCGACACTCCAATCATCATCAGACCCAATACGCGAATTATTTACATTGTATAATAAAGAAAACTCAAAGGTGTGCAGTTGGAAATTTAACACTAGAAGCAGCTAACTAGTGGCCTTTTATTGGCCATGTCTTGGATTGCAGTGTTATCATATGTTTCTGTTTGCCGTACAGAAACATACAGTTACCGTACAGTAACTAACAGTTCATGGACAGTCAATTTTATTAATCTATTATGTCGTAAGCATTTATCAATATAGATATCTGTTGAAGCGTTTCAACCCAAAGGAAAGTTCCAGATTATAAAGTGGTAGGGGTGATGGGTAGGGGAGGGCTTTTATATAGCTACATTATCTGGGGGTGGGTGGGGTCCTTCCATCCACGGGGCTCCGCCTCCGTGGATGGAATAGGACTCCTGACGCAGGTAGAGCTGAGGATTATTGGGGTTAATCTGGGACCGCGGGCGAATTGGGAGTAATTAGGCTCCGGGCGAAATAAAACTCGGGCGGAATAGGACTACACGCATTTTCCGACCTCAGCTTCGCCTCGATCGTACAACTTGAGCACGGGTCGAAAAGAGTTGCTTTACTTAACATTTGTCACTTTTTAAAAGTGGTTAAATATACTATTTTTGACTATGGAAGCTGTTTTTCTCAATAAATCATATCGTCTCTAATTTGTGTAGTTTCCTTGGATGGAGGTTTTAAAACATTGTGCTAATTGAAATAAATTACTGATTATGACTGTTTGAACAGGAAAAACTTCTACTAATGTTAATCCCAGTCTGGAGAATTCTTTAATTGCTTGTCCTCCAATCGTCTTACTTGTGGTACTCATTGGAATATATTTTTAAAAGTTGATGAATGTAGCGGGCGGCGACAGTGACTGTAGTGCCGCATGTTCTCCTCCACGCATAGCTTATCCATCCGAGCCTTTTACTTCTGGAAACCACCCATATATCTGGGTGTTTAAACGTTCTTTTTAGCCCTCTGTCCTTTCGTATCTCAAATGCCACTATCTTGAACTGGTCCGCCTATTTTCTCTGTTCTCAAACCGAGCAATAAGGGTTTTCAGTTCTTTCGCCAGGGCCCAAGTTTCTAAACCATACAGTACTGGGATAATATGGTATGGCATGAATCGAATTTGTTTTATACTTACACCCTGCAGCTTATTGGAAAGTTTTCTAGAGACCTCAAAAAATATGCCTTGTCATCCTTTAGAGTAAGATAAAAGAATTGTACCCTGAGGGTGTATTATTGTTATTTATATTGTCTTGTTTCTGTCCTCTTATTGTTATATTTATTTATTTATTAGTTTAATTATTGTTATTGACGAAAGTTGTTCTGAAAAGCAGTTGTACTAAAAACACTTAAAAAATAAAGACATTTTTATTTATTTATTAGAAATGGTGGCAAAATTATCTTTCTTTCAACACAAAAATCACGAAAATCCGTCAAGTGGTTGATTCAGAATCGTGAAATAAAAAACCCCTGTCACGTTTTAATATAAATAAATTGTAGCTAAGATGCAGTAAAAATAAAATACCCCGCCGCAGCAAACCTGCAGACTAAGCCAATTTCAATTTGCCTGATTGGATTCACACTTAAATGTCTCCTTAAAAATATCTCATTTATTGCCTATTTAAATAACATTAGTTTAGCGAGTACTTAGGTTTGCTGCAACGGGAGGGTAGAAAGGTGTTTTTTTGTAACACGTTAATAGTTTAGTATGAAATAAATGCATTTTCCAAATTTGATCAAAATATGTTCATAAACAAGCAAACTACAACAGTTAAATTATTTTACGCCACACTACATTATTTTGACGAACTTCCCACGCAAGGATTTAGTCCAGAAAACAGCTGTTTGCCACCAGCTTATTCAAATGGGGTTTCATTGCGTAATACTGTTCTGCAATGAGTTTTACCGGACACCAATCAGCTGATTATACTGTATTTGCGTGGCAATGATTGGTTATAAACAAAAACATAACCTCTCTTAGAGGTTATGACTGGTGATGTTTAGTCCTTTAGTAGGTGGAAATATATAAGGATTTGTACGAATTAAGTAGTATGGCGTAAACTATCGTACGTAACTCGTCCAAAATGTGTTTACCGGACTCG